CTCTGTACACACAGAACAGACAGACAGCACGACGACACATCTAGATGTGTATAAGAGACAGGTGTGTGTGTGTGTGTGTGTTTAATATTCATTAAATACGACTTGTGTGTGTGTGTGTGTATGTTTAGTACTATTCATTAAACGCAACTTCACAAAAAAGAGGAGTCGGAGCGTGTATGTTTAAGTGTCTGTAGGCCACTGTCTGGGTTTCATGCAGCAGTATATTTTTTTCACAATCCATGGAAACAATGTTCTGTGCACCGCCTGTGAGAATTCGTTCGTCGGTGTCAGCCACACGGTTTATTTTTGTGTAAGTCACAAACTTCAGATGCAGTTTTTTTTCACCACGGTTCTCAATTGATGCTCCTCTTCAATAGATCTGAAACGTGATGCGACAAGCAAGCGTTCGTTTTCTCGCCCTCACAAAGATCCCACATTTAGCGATTACACTTTGCAGGCCACTCTCCCCTCCTCTCTTGTCCAAAAAATTATCTTCCTTGAATTCCTCGTGTTCTCAAAACCCATAGAGGCAGGGATACCTTTTTCCGCGTTTTTTTGGACAATATTATGGTTCCTTCTGCCCTGCGTCTTCCATGCTCTACAGATCTCATATTACAAGCCTGAAAACCCTTTCACAAGACCAATATCCCCTCATGCAGACCTCTGGCAGTACACATACACATCGTACAACTTGAACAGGGACAGAATTGCGCAACGAACAGGAAGAGCAACAGGCTAGCTTAACTTAGATTGTACTCTACCTGAGACCAAAGATGCATAGAGGCAGAAATAGCTATTTATCTACGCTACCAGAGTGGCCCGGGTCCACTCGCCCGGCCGGGCCAAAAGAAAAAAAAAAAAAAAAAAAAAAAAGGCTCTTGGGTGCCCCTGAGGCAAAAGTTGTTCCGTTCATTTTTTTGCATAACATAGCTTTTCTTCGGTTTTTTTTTTTTTAATCGGCTGGGACCTTCCCTAGTCCTTGCACGGCCGGGCCGCCCGGAAAATACCGTGACCCGGGCGGCCCGGCTGGTAGCCTAGCTATTTGTGCATCTTTTTCGACAATATGGTTCATTTTCCCCTGCGTCTCGCACGCGCAAAACCTCATCTTACAAGCCTGAAAACCCTTGTACACGACTAATACCCCTCATGTACATCTCTGGCAGTACACATGGACAGACATCGTACGACTCGATCACGAGACAAGTGCCTAGCAAACCAGACGAACGACAAGGACGGCGAGTGTAAGGCAAGGGAACGAGCAAAGATTAAATATTGTTTAGTTCCCCCTGACACAACATCCCCATGAAGCAATCTGCACCTACCAGACCTTACCCCCCCCCTCCTCCTCCTTTATACCAAACAGAAAACCAAAACAGCGCCGATCATTCACGATATCGCCGCACACAGACAAGTCAATCGGAGGATTGGAATTCAAAAGTTGGAATGTAAATGGTTTAGGTGACACGATACATATAAATTAAAGATGGAAAAAAGAAGAAAGTAAGAAAGAAAGATGAGCGATTTGTTCATAGACGGCCATGATTCACTCACTGAACTAGTTAGTGGGCTTTCGTTTTTTCCCGATTTGTTCGATCTGAATATGACATGTTTTTTTTTTTTTCTTGCCTTGTTTCTTGAGTAATAATTTCATTTCGATATCGAAGACCCCTCTCTCCCTTTACAAAGGAGGCTTCCACTGCCAAAGCAATAACCCGAGGCCAGATCTGACAGCTGAACGCCCCTCAAAAAAGGCCCGCAACATAAAAGAAAGACCCCAAGACAAGGGGCATGAAACCCCGAAACATCGGAAAAAAAATAAAAAACAAATCCCCCCACATCGAGACGTATATACAATGACCACTCTGCGTAGGTCGAAATCCGCCTGAACACAAGCGCTGGGAAGGGTGGGTGATCTGCGCACCGCGGCAAAGATGCCAACCGCCTTCCCGCGGCAATTATCGCTATATCTAGGCTGCTGACATCCGCCCTACATACATAATGACCGTGCGTTCTCTCGAGCGAAGACCCCTACCTAGGCATATCATAGCGGAGAGCCACCGGGTTTACCTCTGTTCTGTATCTTTCATCGGAGCAGGCAATCTTTCCAACCCGTCGTTGCTTCTCAATTGCTGCTTTTTCAAGCCAATGCGAACCGACTCCCCGTGCAAACACTGAACGAAACGAGGGAGCCCCATCCTCGCGTGAAATCTCCCCCCCCCCCCCCCCCCCACTGTCACTTTTACCGCTCGCGCTGGGTCCTGCTGAGCGATACGTGCGGTGCATCTCAGCTTCGAAATCCCCCCCGCTACTATCGTGAAGCTGATCACTATCACTCACCGCTGATGCTGCTCGCCGCACACGGTGCATTTGAGCCCACGCAACGGCGACCAGAGATCCATATGCCAGGAAGAGCTCAGTCCGCCGTCACGCCGTTATCCTCCCTTCGCAAAGCAACTACCACGACGCGCTGGGGAAGAGAACCAGCGTCCTCTGATACTATGTGGTCTGTGTTAACTAACGTGCGCGAAGCTTGTGGCCGTCGGTGGCGGAATATATCCGCGCTCAGATATCCAGTAGCCAAGACTGAAGAGAACATCGAATCGGCGAACCATGTTCAAACCTTCTTGAAATTATTTTTTCTATAAAAAAAAAGAACAAAAAAGAAACTTTTTTTTTCCAACTTTCTATGACGTCTCGCGGAGTTCAAAAAAAAAAAAAAAAAAAAAAAAAAAAAAAAAAAAAAAAAAAAAAAAAAAAAAAAAAGGGTGCACGAAGAGATGGGGTATACTTTCGTCGACAACTATACCTTCTTCCCTCCTCACTCACATTCTCTCTCGGTCATCCACCCACTCTCTACCCTCTGTACACACAGAACAGACAGACAGCACGACGTTTGCCTTCCAGCCGTCTGTTGGACATCCAGCCTGTACACCCAGCTCAGACTCCATGCGCGCGAAGGCGGGACCAACCTCCAGTGGGAACGACATTACAGGACTACAAAGAAAGCGAAAACGAAACCACTCACCCGCGTCTTGTCATATACCCCCTCCTCATCATCGTTGGACCCCGCCAACACCCATCACCTGTACAAAGGGGTCAGCAAACCCCAAGAGGTACTCTGGCTGGTGGTGGATGGGGGAACCAACCTACAGCCTTCCTTACGCCAAGCAGGTTCACAAGTCCAACCGTATCATCAAAAAAATGGATATACGTATATGGGCATTTGCGAGCGGAGCATGACGTCCCATTTGGCAACAGCACGATAGGAGGGGAGAAAGGAGGACACGACGAGAATATACGGACGGACATGTTTTCGAGAAGGTAGAAGGACGATAGGAGGGAGGAAAGACGGCAGAACGAGGGGGGATGTGCGCATTTGCGAGCGGAGAGAACGTACACCACTTAGACTAAGAAACAACGGGGGAGGTAAAGAAGGCGAAAGAGAAGAAGGGTATATATGCGCGTCTGCGCGCAAACCGCGTATCATTCGGCCACAGATCGTCACGGAAGAGAGGAGGACAGGGGCCGGAAGGGAGGGGAAGGTGGGCACGTACACCACTTAGCACAAGAAACGACGGGGGGGGGGAGGTAAGGAAGGGGGAAGAAGGGTATATACGCGCGTCTGCGCGCAAACCGCCTATCATTCGGCGACAGATCGACACGGAAGAGAGGAGGACAGGGGCCGGGAGGGGTAGGTGGGCATTTGCAAGCAGAGATGCACGTACCGTTTGGCAAAGGAAAGTAGCATTCGTAGGCTATTTCGAACTGAAATGGATTTAAAAACAGTGTCGGGTTGTCGAGAACCGTTACGTTGGTCACATTGATGACACTCATGGTGGAAGACGGGAGTAGCTCTTCCCTTGGGAGATTATTCAATCAACAAACACAGCCCGCTGAGCCCACAGATCCTTGACTGTGGCCGGCCAGGAAAGCAGCCGCCGTCAGCAAAATCGACTTCCGCACAGCACAATTCGTTGCTGGGTACCAAACCTTCCTCCTTCCAACTCGCAGGTAGGTATTTAAAACATCCCCCCCTTAGACACCTGCTTCAGGGACGACGATAAGACAGTACGAACGTCAACCCAAGCATGGGCATATAGGGGTGCACAAGCAACCCAAGCATATAGGGGTGAGTGATCTCAGGCAACAAACAACCCAAGCATGGCCATATACGGGTGGGCAACAAAGTACTGGTCGTTGAAAACAAAATGCACGGCGGGGAGAAACAAATGGCCGACGGTTAAAATTGCAGCAGTTGCGTTCACCAATGGCGGTTATACCCAACAGAACGTTACGCAAAGATTAAAAAAAAAAAAAAAAAAAGAACGTTACCCTAGTCAAAACAAACCGACCCGTGAGTCGGATTGTAGTCTGAATATTAGACTACGGGCCTCGCTCCACTACTCTCGAGATGCACAAAAGAGAAAAATCATGCCGGTGTATCTTTCCAATATCTACGAGAAGATTCACTCTCGTTTTGCACATTTCGAGAGTAGTGGAGCGAGGCCCTTCTTCTGTCCTGCATCGTTCAAGGGAACACCAGTTCCGAGCTTCCACGTGGACACCAAGTGTGGAGGTAATGCGTACTACCGGTAGTCTTGTACTGCATTTTCTCCCTTCGGCGGACATGCTATACCTCCGCCTCCCTCTTCATTTGCTTGCCTTTCCAGACCAGCAGTGGGGCCTCGTTGCACTCACCACTCGCCATCCGCTTTCAACATATTCAATGCACCGGGACAAACCCCCTCTTCCGATTCGTTCAGAATTTTATTTTTTTTTGGCGGACGGCGAGTGGTGCAACTAGGCCCTTATTACAAGAGGGATCAAGATAGACGTGGAAGCCAACTGGCCTATTAGCTCAGTTGGTACACCCCTGACCTGAACTGGTGAAATACAGACCCCCCCCAGTTCAAACTCCATTGGAAGCAGATGATTGAAATACTATTACAATTCTGCTGAAGTACCGAAGGCCGGTCAATTCGATGATAACACGTATCTCAATGCCATCATCGCCCTTTCCTAAAAAAAAAGAAAAAAGAAAAGGCGTAGAAGACGGAGGAGAAGGATGGGTAGGCCTCCTTTTCAACTCGACTGTGGAAGACGAGAATAAGGGGCAAACCATAGCACATGCGCAAAAACGACGCACGCGACCAACGTCCAGATAGATAGACGGTTCAGGGAGGGAAGCAGCCTGGCTATGGATGATAACACGTATCTCAATGCCATCATCGCCCTTTCCTAAAAAAATAAAAAAAAAAAGGACGTAGAAGACGAAGGAGAAGGATGGGTAGGCCTCCTTTTCAACTCGACTCTGTGGAAGACGAGAATAAGGAGCAAACCATAGCACATCGGGTGAGCGTGTCCGTTAATCGCAAATAAGACGCATCCGTTAATCGCAAATACGACGCACGCGACCAACGTCCAAATAGATAGACGGTTCAGAGAGGGAAGCAGCCTGGCTATGAAAAAAAACGATCCAGAGGGAGAAGCAGGAAACCCTACAAATACCTTAAATGACGCAAATAAGAGAAAAAGGAAAAGGCAAAACAATGTACTAAAGAAGCACAACTGCAAGCCAAAAAGCACGGATCAAAACCGTGAACCACAGCACAAATAAACAGCCCCGGCTGATTAGAACCCTGAAGGCTACCCTTCCCCTGATTCGAAGGCGACGTCATCATATCTTAACCTGATCTGAAAACTGCACTGAATACACAGATAGAACTACAATGCGACGGTCGATTCAATGGAAGACGGTAGACGCTGATTACCCGTCCATCCAGTGCTGTTCGTCAGAAGAAGAAAAAAAAAAAAAAAAAAAAAACAGCGAATTCGATTCTCTCAATGATGGAATGAAGGCTTACAACCGTAGTAACCCTAATGCACGACACTTCCCAATAGAACAACATACTGTGGAGTAACGGTAGTTCCCGAATATATATTGAGATAGAAGGGGCGGGGGGAGGAAAAGAAAAGTTGAGGCATATATTCGCTGCTTGCCAAGCAAACAATGAGAAGCACACTACAGGCAGAACATTCCACAACCGTCATCCCCGGAACACAACGCACCGCCATTTCGGCTGTACCTGACCGGAAATATAGCCTCGTACAGATTCGTTATCAGAGTGCGTTACGCGACCACAACGCACCACCATTTCGGCTGTACCTAACCAGAAGTATAACTTGTATACATTCATAATCAGGGCGCGGTGCGTTCGGGGAAGGACGGCCGTCGTCCGCCGAACACAACGCACCCCCACTTCGGCTGTACCTGACCAGAAGTATAGCTCGTACACATTAATTATCAGGGCGGCTGTACCTGACCAGAAGTATAGCTTGTATGCATTCATAATCAGGGTGCGTTAAGTTCGGGGGGACGACGGTAGTCTAAGTGCTGTCCGCGCGATTACATTTTCACCGTTATATTACCGTTACTACCGTCTTCCCCCGAACACAACGCACCCTCATTTTGGCTGTATCTGGCCGGAAATATATCTTGTACACATTCAATTTTGGGGTGCGTTATGTTCGGGGCAAGACTGTAGCTTCCATCCTGCTAAGTCTTTAGAAGCTGCGATCTGCTACCAGCAGGACATCTAACTACTTTGAACAACTACGTTATTGGTATTTTATCCTTTACAAAGCTGCAAAACAGGGCTTTTCAGAAAGTGCATGTGCTGAAGACAAATCGAAACAGGCGTTGTTTTATAAACTTTGCCAGCGAAAGAAAGTCAAATACTGTTCGTTGTTTTATACTTTGCCAGCGAAAGAATAGTCAAATACTGTTCGCTGTTTCATACTTTGCCAGCGCAACATACTCAAATGCTGTTCTAAAAGGAATTGAAAAAATACAGAAATCATTTGACTCTTGAAAACTCAACATCGGTCAGAGACTCAAAACAAAATATAGACACGATTCAAACGCGTAAAACAGAATTATCGGATGTTTGCAGTGATTTCATAATTGCAGCAAGTAAAAAATATATATATATATATTTAAGAATAAAAAAATTGCAACAAGTCCAAGTCTGTTATGTGCGATATGAGAAAGATTGGCTTCTCGGTGTGAACGGACCTCAACTGTTTGTTTGGCCATTTGGATTCTAGATGTGAACAGAAGACCGTTCACTGTTTTGGCCAACTGGAGAACGAAAAAAATGAAAAAAATAGCGATGTCTTAAACGGCTTCAGCGGTTCTAACAGTCGGCCATCGAGTAATCTCTGTGAATGAGAGCAGATCAACACTCAGTTATCCGGCAATATCTGAATAAAAGCGGATGCCTTGGTAGGGATCAAGCTCTCCGACCAGATAAGATTGAGCGCGGGGACAATGTGATCGAAGGGCCAACGAGAGAGAACCTCGCTGCAATGAGGCAGTCAATGGCGAGGCTCTGCTAGCGGAGAAGCAGGATGGGAACATCTCATATATTGAACAGGAGATTGACAGATCGAGCCTGAAATAGCGGCATTGTGTGAAGTAGAGAGACGGTCAGACTGCTCTCTTTGAGTGGAAACGATCATTCACTTAAGCAAATGGGAGAAATATCCAAGGGGGAAGCCTTTCAAGGCTGGTAAACCATCCATTCGCTCGACCCGTGACAAAAGCGAAAATCCCCCTAAGGAGAGAGCCGTCCCCCACGACAGCCTTTTCGACGACTCCCCATCCCCATCCCCATTCCCGATCCCCCCCCCCCCCCCCCCCTCTCTCTCTCTCTCTCNCTCTCTCTCTCTCTCTCTCTCTCTCTCTCTCTCTCTCTCTCTCTCTCTCTCTCTCTCTCTCTCTCTCTCTCTCTCTCTCTCTCTCGGCTTCAACTTTCGCTGACTTAAGCTCTCCATATTTTCCGTTCACCCTCCCTCGCTGAGTATCATCGGCTCGCTTTACTCGTTACACATCATACAAAGCAAAAAAAAAATTCCTGAACAAGAAGTACCCACCTCGATTGTTGCTGGGGGATGGTGCCCGCGTAGCATCATCTGATTTGAAATTGGCATTCGGAATCGGCAAGAATGCCACAGAAGGCAAAGATTCTTCCTCGAGGCCGAAGAATATACGCGTCGTTTACAAAAGACGGAGAGAATGTGCAACTTGATTCGGCGTGTGGCATAACATCGAGCGCACGCGACCTGTCATCCACGATAAGCAATGCATCAAGAAACCGCCCCCGCTCATAAGAACAACAAAACAGGACTGACGGTCGGTTCAACTGCCGAAAGACTTCTTCAACACGTTCAAAAGACTTCACGACAGCGCGCGCGCTAATTTGTTCCAAAGGTTTATGGTGGTCATGGGCGGGGCCGCCAATGTATTCGCTCGGTCGAAGGTCAATGAGCCGCTAGCGTCTTGTGGCGATGGAATTCCGCACTGCACTGAAACTGGCCGCCGCCCGTCTGGCCAGGAAATAGCCGCAAGAAGGAGATTGAATAACCAGCGGAAAACAAAACTGGCGGGGATAAATTTTAACTATTGCTGTCCCCCGCCAAGATTTTGAATTGCCTGACCTAAAATTTGTGTAGCAGGTGCCAAGGGCGCGGGCAGAAGAAGGCGTCTTCCACCGTCCACATCACCGTGACCGTAACGTTACCGTCTTCCCCCGAACATAACGCACCCCAAAAATGAACGTATACAAGCTATATTTCCGGCCAGATGCAGACAAAATGAGGGCGCGTTGTGTTCGGGGGAAGATGGTAGTGCTGTGCTTGGGAGTATAGAGACGTTCGTGAGTACCGTCCGCGAGTACCGTGAGTACAGACAACTTCAGGTCGGAGGAGTGCGGCGAGTACGGTACGGCGATTTCTATCGATCACGACCGTCCGGTTCCACCGTGCGCAAAAGACGTGGTGAGTTTCCACTGCCTCAAATCGCCACTGCCAGGGCGCAAAAGTGCCTTTTGCGCCTCGGCCGCGGGTGCGGGGAACGGCGCTCGGAGGAAGGAGGGCGGGAGAAAAGGACCGTCGTTTTGTTTTTTTTCCCTTTTTTTCGCAGGCCTAAGGCTGCGGTATACTGGGCTTCAGCCTCTGTGTCCAGGTGTAGCATTTTCAGGGTGATATTGCGGGCAAAAGTTTTTTGGGGACGCAAGTGGGTTCTTAGCGGGCAAAAGTTTTTTGGGGACCGGTCCTTGGTGATATTGCGGACGGACGACCTACAGCTACCGGTAGCTCTCGTAGAGCCAGGGTGGAAACTGATCCAAAAAGTGTAAGAAGGGGAGGCGTTGTCGGGAGTCCCACTCGCAGGCTGTCCAAGGCGGAGGGTGCCGGCGGGTCTGGTCCCACAATTTGCAACAGGCCACTTTGTGGCGATTTTTTATGCTCGGAGAGATTCGCAGAACACTCTGAAATTTGAGAATCCATAGATTAGCTCGTGGTTTTTCCAAAGAAAATATCCAAAAATTTTCAAAAAATCAATAAACCACCACTACCTCCGACCCTGTTTTTGTTCACCCTTAATTTCACAGTGCACTGAGTTTTCTCGAGCCTAAGTCCCATTGTGTTCTCTTTTCTGAGACTCTTCCACAAAAAAAAACATAATGGCATTCACACTAAAAACGACAAAGGACCGAAAAAAAAAACAACAGTTCTATACACGTGACAAAATATGTAGTCCATGTGAGAGTAGGCCCTCAATAAGGGGGGATTTACAGCCACGAAATCATCACGGCAGCTGAGTCTAAAAAAATGGGAAAAAAAAAAAAAAAAAACAGCCCTATGCATTTGAAAGCAGTTAGCTGCAGAATCTCGAATACAATTGCTCCATGACAAAGTGTCAACAACCCGTTGAATTCGCCCTACCTCTCTGGCGGGGCACTAAATCAAAACAAAAAAAGATAAATGAAAATGAGTGCAGCTAAAACTGAAACTAACCCAAATACCGCTCAGATATGTTAGTTGAGGTTTTGACATGAGCATTGGGTCGGTTAGGGTCTTCCCCAATAGTTTCCTCAAACTTATAGTATCGTCTTTTATTGTTTTTTGTCTTTTACTAGTTGACCCATATGGCCCAAACATTTTGTTATTGTCGAGTCTTCGCGGGATCTTCGAAGTTTGCGGATTATCCTATGTTTCCACCTTTTCCAACCTTGAGAAAAAATTATCTTATTTTCTCACTTTTTCGTGAAATTATTGTTGTGTTGATTCAACACATTTTCTCTTTTTTCCACCCAACCACACGTGGGTCAGCGGAAACCGTACTCCAACTTCATTGATTTTTCACACTTAGAACAACGCGTGAAATTTTTTGAAAATTTAAATGTTTGTAGATTTTATTGTGATCTTTCAAAAAAAAAAAAAAAAAAAAACATTTAAAAACTCGTTTCAGTCGCGAAACAGATTGCGACCGCAATTTGATCCATATTCCGTTTTTGTCATTCAACTTCTCTCTCTCTCTCTCTCTCTCTCTCTCTCTCTCTCTCTCTCTCTCTCTCTCTCTCTCTCTCCCTCTCTCTCTTGCACGCGCGCTTAGTCTTATTGCTTCTGCTACCTTAGCGATGCATTCACCACGCCCACGTGGTAGACAGTTCAATCCTTAAGAACGCAGATTGTTGTAGGGGTGGGATATTAGACAAATGACATTCATGCACGGTAATCGGTCATTATGAACCCCTTTGAAGACCCTACTCACCCTTCCTTTTATTTTTGTTTTGGCGCACCCTCACCCCCTCTATCCTACCCTAGTGTTAACCACCCAGGAACATCACCCATCACCATATTGGCGATGTGACATGACCACACAACGAAAATGGTCATCCTACATGCGGTTGAACGCACTTTCCGTTGTTTTTTTTTTTTTTTTTTTTTTTTTTTTTTTTTAAAATTATTCCAAAAAACCCACATAAAAAAAAAAAAAAAAAAAAAAACAGCGAATTCGATTCTCTCAATGATGGAATGAAGGCTTACAACCGTAGTAACCCTAATGCACGACACTTCCCAATAGAACAACATACTGTGGAGTAACGGTAGTTCCCGAATATATATTGAGATAGAAGGGGCGGGGGGAGGAAAAGAAAAGTTGAGGCATATATTCGCTGCTTGCCAAGCAAACAATGAGAAGCACACTACAGGCAGAACATTCCACAACCGTCATCCCCGGAACACAACGCACCGCCATTTCGGCTGTACCTGACCGGAAATATAGCCTCGTACAGATTCGTTATCAGAGTGCGTTACGCGACCACAACGCACCACCATTTCGGCTGTACCTAACCAGAAGTATAACTTGTATACATTCATAATCAGGGCGCGGTGCGTTCGGGGAAGGACGGCCGTCGTCCGCCGAACACAACGCACCCCCACTTCGGCTGTACCTGACCAGAAGTATAGCTCGTACACATTAATTATCAGGGCGGCTGTACCTGACCAGAAGTATAGCTTGTATGCATTCATAATCAGGGTGCGTTAAGTTCGGGGGGACGACGGTAGNTTTTTTTTTTCCATATAGTTTGCAAAATACACACATAAATTGAGATATATGCTAAAATGCCTCGGAAGTATGTGCGTAAAGCAGAATGTCTTTTTGAGCTGAATTCTTTGGGTTATGCCCCTGTCAGGCCGATGCGCAAATTCGCAATGTGAGTCTTTTCGTTGGGTCTGGGCACTTTGCAATCCGACCTTCGAAAAGTTGGCAAGTAATGGGGCATTTCGCAAAGTTGAATCGTACTCGGTAGGGGTATATTGCAAACTATCATATATTTTTCTTTGATATTCTTTCAAATCCACATTGCACTACCTACCTATGACGTCTACTTTTTTCTTTTTTTAAAATGGATAATTTGCGAAATACCCCCATCAGTCGAGACATATGTCAAAATGCCCCTAAACGATGTGGGTAGAGCGGAATGTCCCTCTACCAAAAAGAAATTTCAATAAAACACCCTGGTGTCAGTTGAGCATCCCATCATTGCAGTATACTCTTATCGGACACCGTCCAAGTTTTAAGAATACCCCAATATTTTATAACTTTTTATTGGCCTACTTCATTTTCAAAATATTTGTACTTGTCTCTTCCTAGGGCCTACCTGATACCAGGGGAACTTGGGGGTTCGTTTTAAGGGTCGTATGAAACATTAATTGTAGGATTTGCTTCGGTTTTTAACCCCATATTCGGTCAGTGGCGGTTTCTATTTTTTGCTTTTCCATATCATAAAACAGTTTTTTTTTAATGAGTTGTGGTTTCCCGCTGTCAACTTATTTTTTATGTTGTCGAAGTTGGTATAAATAAGGTTCCAAAATGGTATCATTTGAGATGTTGTTTGTAGATTGTGTACCCTCAAATGTGTCTTCGAGAGATTTAAAACTATTAATATTTGGAAGTACTATGGACCAGGTCGGTTTTATTTTTTCAATCAAATTTGGACAGTTTTTATCGGTAGAGTCCGTCTCTTGGTACATGGGTTTGATTTAGATAAGGAGATATTTTATAGTCGAAATTTTTTTTTTTCTCAACTTTCAATTTTTTATACAGTCCATACAAGATAAATACCTTTTTAAGTTACTCTGTATTTATCGACAAGATCCTTGGCTTCTGGCATGAAGAAAGGTAAACCGGTCGGATCACACTATCGAGCGTATCGGTCCCATAGAAGGACCCTCCCGGCCACATCACGCATGATTTTGCAAGATTTTTTTGCACGAGTGGTTTGTCGCTCAAGCTGTGTGTGTCATCTGTACTTCTCACAATACATGATAGAGGTCGCGCGAGCAACAATTTACCTTTACACAAGGGGTTGTCACCATCAATAGGCAGGCGTCTCCCCGTCGAGCTACCGAACCACGTGCAAAATTTGTTCGTGTGTCATCACATAGCTGACTCAGTTAAGTTTTTTTCTCGTTCGGTACAATATAAGGGGATATGCGTGGTTGAACGCCTTAGTCGGACTTGCGCGCGAACTGGCAGTCTGCGGGTTGATCTCTCGAGCGCGACTCTGCGCCGGTCGACTAAGACGGTCAATCTAACTACACGATACACTCACAAAATAAACTCAAACTTCGTACGTAAACTGCACTTAGTCCTTTATTCGCATTCAACCCATAACTTTTGACAACAAAAAATAAGCAAGTGTCTATCGCGAGACTTTGAATAAATATCACGACGACGCACGTTTTGTCATATTGACTAACCATGAATGAATACGCAAGTAGTTGCAAGGATGACGTGCTATGTGGTACCCATAACCATGTGGTTCTCTATGATTTTAAGGGTTTCTTTTGACACTCAAGTGTCGGCTGACACGCGCCTTGAGAGGTAATCTCATGACGCTTGATAATAACGTATGCGATTGCGGGTCCTATATTTTTCTGCATACTGCTGCGAAGCACAGTAGGTAGGTTTCGACCCTTTTATGGTGGTCAAATGCCTCTGACTCAGGGAATGAGACTCCTTCGTCGGGGGCCTGTAACAAGTTAAGGGGTTTGACTTTCGACCTCAACGTTCAACCATCATATTTAACAAGCAGATTAAAAGGGATTTCTCATTTTCTCTCAATCCACATCTGCTCAATCCTTCCGCTCAGTCAAGGTAGACCACGCGAATACACAAATTAGAAGCATAGTGGGGTTATTGGA